AAAGTAGAGGGAGAAATATATATTTCAACCAAAGGGATTTTAAATTTACTTTGACAGTAAAAAAATCTCAGAAAAAAATGACTGAAAATCTCTGCAAAAACCTCTATAAAAAGCCCCCTATAAAAATGCATACAATGTTATTAGAAAACAAATATTTCTTTTATGTCTATGTAGAAGTGGATCTCTTTTTCTACTTACTTGGCAAGAAAAAGAAAAAAAAAAGGACAAAAATGTACCAGATGCAGTCCTATTTGATATTGCCCAGATTTTAAAGGCTACTCACTTTTGTGGTAATTTCCTTTGATGATGATATTGAATTCCCTTTGGGAAAACTGAGGCACATTGTCATTTATATCCAGAATCGGAATGATGACATTCAAGGGCTTTGCTAGCCCTTTATTGGCCTTTTTGTCGTGAACCTCAAAATAGACCTGAACAATTGATAACCAATGAGGAAATCAGGTTCAATTAGAATGTAAAGCAGAATGACATTAAGCAAGGTTTTGATTGCTGGAAATCCTGAAAGAAAGAAAGAAAGAAAGAAAGAAAGAAAGAAAGAAAGAAAGAAAGAAAGAAAGAAAGAAAGAAAGAAAGAAAGAAAGAAAAGAGAAGAGAAGAGAAGAGCAACAAGGGTGATTAGGAGTTGGCGGCTAAAATTTATGAAGAATGTTTGCAGGAATTGGGTATGTTTAATCTAGTGAAATGAAGAACTAGTGGTGACATGATAGCAATGTTCCAATATTTGAAGGGCTGCCACAGTTCTTAAAGTTGAAGTTCACAGAACACAAAGTTGCGAAGGTTAGATGCCACTGCTTTAAAATTTTACATAGAGCAATGCCAGTTTATATCAAGCTATACACTGAATAGAAATTTATTTATTTATGAGACTTATATACCGCTTTAAGTGCAAGCACTCTCTAAGCAGTGTACCCACCAGTAAGCAATGTATATATATGTTTACATTGCCTCCAACAATCTGGGTCCTCATTTTACCTACCTCGGAAGGATGGAAGGCTGAGTCAACCTTGAGCCGGTGAGATTTGAACTGCTGACCTGCTGAACACAGTCAGCTAAAGTGGCCTGCAGTACTGCACTCTAACTGCTGCGCCACCTCGGCTCATCACGAGGTGAATCTGCTTTCTTGTCTATCCTGTTTCCATTACTGTGAGAAGGTCTCAGAAGGCCCCTGCTCTTTCCCAGGTATATGGACAAGAGGTGGCAAGCTAGCGGAGCTTCTCAATAATATCCTCCACCTTATGGACCAATCCTTCACTCAGAGGTATCTATGACTGCTCCCTCCTTGCTTTTCAGAAGCAGGCGATCATGCCTCTGGCCCAATTTGATGGGGATGTTGTGATGGGTTCAAAAGAAAGTTGCATTCATTGGGATTTGTTTCACTGGGACTTTTTCTCTGTTTACTTAAGATACAAAATAAGTAAATATATACTGAAAAAGAAGAAGTCTTCTCTCGCTCGATGGGATGATGCATATATATGTCCACAGGTCTCTAAGATAGAAAACACTGTCACGTTTGGATTTTTATCCGCACAAATTGAATAAGCGATGGGTACCTTCTGGACTACTTCATTGAAAACCTAGAAAAAGATTACAATATCTGAGTAAATTTTCCAATTATTTTTAAAACTACCTGACATTGTATGTATGTATGTGTATGTATGTATGTATATGTATATGTATATGTATATATTAGATGAGAGCTAAATGGCTCAGAATAGCTATACTAGTCTCCCTTTAACTCTTTGTCAGCAAAATCCAAATTTAACACAAATAGTTTGTTGCAGTAGTATCTGCCTGTATGATAAAAAATGCTTCTAGATTGGGGCTAAGAAGCAATAAGTAGATTGCTTCATAAACTGGGTGTTCTGATAGACCAGCTTCACCAGAAAATACTTAATCTCTCCTCCCTGGTTCAGTTGACAAAAGCAAGGAGAACCTGTGGCCTAGAGGTTAATATACCTGCCTAATATGCAAGCTGCCCAGGTTCAAATCTCAGAAGGGTATGGCTAGCTGATGAGAGCTAAATAGCTCTAAATAGCTATATTAGTCTCCCTTTAACTCTTTGTCAGCAAAATCCAAATTTAACACACACACACACACACACACACACACAAGGGCTTCCTTGGAGGCCCTTCCAGCTGACATTTTAATAAAGCTAATGAGGCATTTTCATGCCTTTTTCATTAGCAAAAATATACCATTATATTCCAACTGTGGCTGAGGTAGGAATGATTCTTTCATTTTATGTCAACATAATTGCTGCTTCCGTTATGTGGCAAGTGGGCCAGGAAATACAAGTTTTGACCAATATGGTAATTTACCATATCTTTGCCTTTGAGTCAAAGTTGACTCCTGGCAAGTGGATGGAGAACTGGCAAAATATTTTGTTTCCTGGCAAAGTATTTTGTTTGACTTTATCTTCTTCCTAAAGGAGAAAGAGAGTGACTGGCCCAAAGACATCCCAAACTAGCTGCATAATTATGTCTACACTAGAATTCATAGAAATTCTTGGTTTTTAACCCCCTTGTCTTAATTATTGCACCAAAATGGCTGCTCATTAAGAAGAGATCTGCTGGATCAGGTTGAGGCCCATCTATGTCCACTCAGGAGTCTGAGGGGCCAATGGGATGCTAAGCAGATGCTCACAAGCAGGAGACAGAAATCCACCTTCTCTTGCTGTCATTGCTCTTCAACTTGTATTTAGGGCTTTCCGTGAATCTGAAAGATTACTATTCCTGCATTTATTTAATCCTCTTGTATTTTATAACATACAAGTTACTGACCATCATCATTACCAGGTTTTACAGGAATAAATTCCCTCTAACCTGATTATGCATTTCTGTATTTCATTGATTTTCAGCAATGTCTTTATCATCTACAAAGTTTCTTAAAAGAAAATCCTCAAATTAAGGAAGCACATGGATTCAACAAAAGAGGGTGGGGTTGAAAGATTGGGGAATCATGGAAGTATCAGTCTTCTTAGCAGTGGTGTGACGTAACAAAAATAGATAACAACAACAACAACAACAACAAGCCTTAAGGACAAATGCATATAAAGTCAAAATTGAGAAGACAGCAACAGACAGTAAGTGCCGCCTATGCAAAGAAGCTGAAGAAACAGTGGACCACCTGGTAAGCTGTTGCAAGAAGATTGCACAGACTGACTACAAGCAGTGGCATGATAAAGTAGCAAAAATGGTGCATTGGAAGATCTGCAAAAAATATCATTTGCCTGTAAGCGAAAACTGGTGGGATCATAAAATAGAGAAAGTCATAGAAAATGATAAAATTAAACTGCTCTGGGACTTCAGAATTCAAACAGACAAGCACCTGCAACATAATACCCCAGACTTAACAACTGTCAATAAGAAAGACAAAAAAGTCTGGATAGTGGACGTGGCAGTGCCTGGAGACAGCAGAATAGACGAGAAAGAACTGGAGAAGATAACAAAATACAAAGACCTACAAATAGAAATAGAAAGACTGTGGCAAAAGCAAGCAAGGGTAGTACCAATAGTCATAGGCTCCTTGGGTGCAATCCCAAAACAACTGGAGCACCACTTGAACACCATTGGCATTGACAAATTCGCTATTAGTCAATTGCAAAAGGCGGCCTTACTAGGAACTGCCTCCATCCTGCGACGATATTTGTAATACCATCAAACATCCACATCTGCCTATCCCAGGTCCTGGGTAAGGACTCGATAGGTAGACAAAATGCCAAATCTAGTCTGAACATCTGGCTGACTGTGTGATGATCAATAATAATAATAATAATAAATGATGATGATGATGATGATAATGCAACTAAGTATAAGTTGTGAGCTACCCAGAGTCACACTGTTTGAGTTCAGTGGTCCTATAAATCCACTGAATGAATGAATCAATGAATCAATCGATCGATCAATCAAAACAAATAAGTAAATAAGTAAGCAAGCAATAAATAAATAATACATAAATAAATGTCAACATTTTTGTTGTTACCCATCCAATCAGTTCTGAGGATGCAATTTTTTCTTCCTTAATTTCAAAGAAATTTTTGTACCATTTCTTCGTGGGAGAAGAACGAAGCCTGTTGAATGGATGCTGTGAATGAAAGGATTCAATTATTATGACATGTCTTTCTGCAATCCAAATTACTGAGCAGAAGATCTTTAGAGCGTGTTCTGAAGCATGCTGAAAATTATTTGAGATCAGCAGTGGATGATAAGCAACTACAACTCTTAGACAGAAGGTCTGCAGGTCATGTAGAATAGTTTCAGAATAGTCCTCAGCATCTCTAGGTTAAAATGGAGAGGATTCTGCCTGCAATGCTGCAGAGATACTACCAGTCAGTGTCCATGGTACTGAATTAGACAGAACAACTAAGATTCATTTCTACAGCAATATACAATATCCTTTTCAGCATGGGCTCTAAATCAGTGGCCTCCCAACTTCTCTAGTTTTGCTGACTGGTGAGGGAGAGAGAGGATGGTTCCAGGTGACTGACGAGCAAGCTGCTCATACAAATGGAGCTGGATACAATAATAATAACAGAGTTGGAAGGGACATTGGAGGTCTTCTAGTCCAACCCGCTGCTCAGGCAGGAAACCCTATATCATTTCACTCCAATGGTTGTCCAGCTCTTCTTAAAAACTTCCAATGTTGGAGCAGCATCTGGAGGCAGGTTGTTCTACTGATTAATTGTTCTGTCAGAAAATTTCTGCTTGGTTCTAGGTTGCTTTTCTCTTTGATTAGTTTCCATCTGTTGCTTCTTGCCTTGCCTTCAGGTGCTTTGGAGAATAGGTTGACCCCCCTCTTCTTTGTGGCAACCCCTGAGATATTGGAACACTGCTATCATGTCACCCCAGTCCTTCTTTTCATTAAACTAGACATACCCAATTCCAGCAACCTTTATACGTTTTAGCTTCCAGTCCCCTAATCATCCTTGTTGCTCTTCTCTGTGCACTTTTTGAATGGTTGTAAGTTGAGAACTACTTGTACATCATTCAAATCCATATTTTTATTTGTTTTCACAATCAAATACCATGATTTCTCAGTTTACATTGCTAAGGTTGCATAAAGAGAGTGGGGGATAAAACCACAGTAGAAATTATAAAGTCAATTTAATTACATATACAGCTCTATTAACCTTGTATATAAATCATAACTTTCAAAAATCTGGAGAATCACGTCAACTGAATGATTCAGTGAAGGATGATACGATGTCTTGATTACTTGTGCATAATTCTATTCTGCTTACCAAGTACAAAATAGTGTAATCCAGGAGATAAATGCTTTGGGTGCTCTACCTAGCTGCATAAAACTTAAGAAGGGGGCAGTTTTTATTTGCATATCCTGGCATCCAATCAGGGCAAATACATTTTCTGTGAAATTTCCCACTGCTATAAAATAGTAATTTCTGAGTTGGGTTACTGTGTCTTCAAAACTACAAATTTCTTACAAAACATTAAATCTTTTGGAAGATCCAAAGATCTTCAAATTGAGCCTTACCAATATAGCTATCTACAAAAAATGGGGTGATGTATTTCACTTTAAAAGGAGAATATTTGTAGCTTAGGGCTGAAATGACTGATGATGTTACATCATTGCCATTGAGGAGAATTTTGGGAATTGAAGTCCATATCTAAGTATTGCCAGATTGAAAAACTCTGATTTAGAGAGATCGTCTAGGGCAGGAGTAGGCAACCTTGGCTCTTTTATGACTCGTGGACTTCAACTCCCTGAATTCCTGAGCCAGCCATGCTGAGGGGAAAGGGAGAGTTTCCAAGCTGAGCCATGCTGGCTCAGGAATTCTGGGAGTTGAAGTCCATGAGACATAAAAGAGCCAAGGTTTGCCTACCTCTGGTCTAGGGTCTTCCAAAAACCTATATAAGCCTTTCAAAGCACCATCAACTCATTACAACCTACAATCTCTCCTTGCAGTTCTATCAAATGCCAAAATATATATTCATCTGCAGGCCAGCCCGAAATTAAAAGTTGCAAAATAGTCTATAATACCAGCAATAATACCAGCCAGCAATTTCTCCCAATGCACAGGCCTTGTAAACTACTTTGGGATTCCCTGGTGCAGACTGAAAAGCAGTCTATAAATGCCCTCCTAAACAAAAAGAGATCAAACGTATAACTTCAAAGAGGACACTCTGAGCACAGGGAGAGAAATGTTTTTATATGTTGAAATCATGGGAATTAGGAGGAAGTTATACTTGTTTGTTTATGTACATTTTTACCTCTCAATATATAGTTGGACCCATAAGGTCATACAAGTAGTACATCATAGAAGAATGATCTTTAAAGGTGATAATTCCTTATAAAAAAACAACTGCAAAAATTTACCACAGGGGGAAAAAAAATAGATGGCTGTACATCACAACTTTTAAAAAAGAGAGGCCACGAGTATATAGGCTTTGAGCATGTTTTGATGTTACATGCTTATGGAAGGAATCCCGGGAAGACCAAAGATCTCATACTGTGTTGCCCTGTAATTGCAAACATTAGAAACACCAGGATGCCTACATGTCCAATCATATAGATGAGTCAGAGATGAACCAGAATTCTTGTCTTCAGGATCAATCGCAAGATAGCATGGGAAGTCAAGGGCATGCTGGTCTCTCCCTATGAAAGTCTATCTTGAAGTTCAAGAACCACCATTCTAGATTTTTGCTGCACAAAGAAAAGGGCTGCCAGACCTTGCTGCACCAAGGCAACAAACCTCGTCCCAGCATTATTTAAATTTGCACCGTATTTGTTTCAAGTTGTTTGTTTTTAGCTTGGTATCTGCTGAGGTCTTTTGGGGAGGAGTATAATTATTTGTCTTTCCATTCTTGGGATTTGGGCATATATGGGCTGGTAACCCCTTAAGGGGAACAGTGGATCCATGGAATGAAGAAGATGGCTTGGGAGGTCTCACGTTGCCAGCTCCATGGATCATGGAGCATTCCTGGATCTCAAAAGAATGCCTACTGGCCAAATGCTGTTTGAGGGCAGGGTATTTTTTGGTCCCACTCTTTGCTTCAGCTGGTCTCCTCTGATAGGCTGATGAGCCATGGGTGGGTCCAGTGGTCTTCAACTGACTCTCAGGGGATGTCACCTGGTTGGTTCTTTCCCCATGAAAGTCTTTTTTGAGACCTCCTGCAATGGGTACTCTTGGAAAGTTTCCATGGAGAGTCAACTGTTTATTTGCCAAAGGGCTGTGCAACAATTTGCTTTTGCCAGAACTTTTCAAAGACCGGAGGATGCTAGGAGCAGTCTGAGCCCGAGCTTTGGTTACCTTTCCTTTCTCAGCTTGTACAGTTTGCATTTGCAGCCATTCCAGCTCCAAAAGACGATCCACGTACTTCTCCAGAAACCCAGTCGGTTCCGGTCGGGGTTCCGATTTGCACTCGGTGTTGATGAATGCAGCCAACCCTTTCAAGTCCCAGGAGTTAAAAGGTGGTGGGAGAAAGTCTGTGTAATGATAGTCTGGTTGCTTCCGTTGTGTCTCAAAGTCGTGTTCGAAACAAACAGGGTCGATCTCCTCTGCTCGAAGGTTGAGCTCTGGCGGTGTGCAAGGCGAAGGAGGGATAGGAATTCTTTCTGAATCGGAAAGGTCACTGGCATCGTCTTCCTCAGAGTCTTCTTCTTTCATCATTTGCAAAGATCCAAAGTCCAGAAACATTGCCTCAATTGTAGCATCTTGACAGGAAAGACTGCTGGGGCCTGCTTCCTCCATCTGCTCTCCAGAGTTTCTTTCCAAATTGCCTTTTTGTCTGCAATAAAGCCCCTGAACCATCGCATCTTCTGTCCCGCTGGAAGGACTCCATGAGACGTCTTTAAATGCAGGAAGAATTTTGTTATCCCCGGCCTCATGATTTTTTCTATCCAGATGTTCTCTTTTCGGCCTTAGTACTCTATGTGAGGAAGTACAAGTGTTTGTTAGGCTAAAAAGGGAAAGAAATAACACTCATGTCAGCTGAAACAATATATCTGACTCAACTCTAAGTCACTCGGGAGCCTAACATTACAAAACAGAAAAAGAGAAAACACAAAACACACCAACAATGACAGCAGAAAACATGAGGGGTCCTTGGTGCTCTCTGAGCTTGGTTGTTTTCTTCGAGATGTTATCCGAGCTAGGCAACATCAGTGGATAATCAGCGATGTCACCTAGTTTGGGTAATGAAATGTCTGCAAGAAAACAATCAAGCTCAAAGAGCACCAAGGACCACTCATTTCAACCCTAATATCTTTACAACATTTCATATCACAGTCCCCAATATTTAACACAAAGCTCCTTTTTCTTTTTAAAATTTGCTACCTATTAAGTTTTGCTTTTCAAGTTAAAGGTAGAGACACATTGCAATCATTTCAATCTTATTTGTAATTCATTCAGCAATCTTGGTCCATTTTTCAGCCTAACCTACCTGCATAGGGCTGCTGAAAATATTAAGTAAGAGAATCATCTATAGGTAGTCCTCACTTAAATGGAACTGGCATTTCCATTGTTAAGAAAAGCGGTTGTTAGGCAAAACATCCTGGGACTAAGCAGGGGGTTGGACTAGATCTCTGATGTCCCTTTCAACTCTGTTACAGTGAGAGGGGAAATTATTTGATGCCTGTGAAAAACAAATCTACTTCTTATTCCAAAAGTGCAACCATATTAAAAAAAAAAAGAACTTCACCTGTTTGGGTAATGCCCTTCATAAACTTGCTTTGTCTCTTTGTACTGAGCTGTTATCTGTCTGTCTGCAGCCTCTACAGGAGCCTAGAAGAAATGAACGAATATTTAATTATAATTGCAGTGGTAGGGAAGACATGAACATTTAAGCATAATTTGCATTCAATAAAAACGTAAGTGGGTCTCACCTTTCCTGCAATAGCAGATGTGTTTTTCCCTGGCCTCTTGGAAGAAGGTTTTAGAAATGTTGATTTCTTTAGTTCTTTCGTGCTTGGATGGTTCTTTCCTCCACTGGAACTAGTTGATTAAAAAGAGGAGTTTTTCAAAGATCTTTATTTTAACAGGACAAGTTTACATGTTTATTGTTTGTGTGCCTTAAAAACTTTAATATTTTTCTGGTGATTATTCTCATAAAAAGCTTATTAAGCAAGATATATATGTAGCATTTTCATTGGAGCAGATCTATTTCTCTTCTTTACTGTAAACTGTGCATTCATATAAATTAAATGTGTGGGCATTGATAGGACACTGGCCATTAGACATTTGCAAAAACTTGTATTTTCTAATCCATAATTAGATCAAAGTCTCTCGCCCTCCTGCTTCAAACAAATGCATATCTGACATTAAAAAAGAGATTAAAGGAAAGATGGTTATTATTGTCAGTCTCTGAACAATCTTCTATGCAATCTGTTGTACAGACAGTCCTTGACTTAGGGCCTCAACTGAGCCCCAAATTTCTGTTGCTAAGCGAGACATTTGTTAAGTGAACTTTGCCCCATTTTACGACCTTCCTTGCCACAGTTGTTAAATGAATCACTGCAATTGTTAAGTTAGTAACACGGCTGTTAAGTGAATCTGGCTTCCCCATTAATTTTGCTTGTCAGAAGGTAACAAAATGTGATCACAGGACCCCGAGATATGGCAACCGTCATAAATATGAGCCCGTTGCCAAGTGTCCAAATTTTTAACCTGTGATATGGGGATGTCACTTTTTTTTACTGCCATTGTAACTTCAAATGGTCATTAAATGAACTGTTGTAAGTTGAGGACTACCTGTACTATTATATTTTAAAAGTATAAACCTGTAACTGGGACATTTTGTTTCAATGACAAATATCAGCTCTTGGAATGAACCCAGCCTTTGATTGAATAATTTTTTAGGACTCAATAACTCAGGAATTTCTCTACAAGGCAGGGGTCTTCAAACTTGGCCCTTTTATGACTTGTGGACTTCAACTCCCAGAATTCCTCAGCCAGGCACGCTGGCTGAGGAATTCTGGGAGTTGAAGTCCACAAGTCATAAAAGGGCCAAGTTTGAAGATCCCTGCTACAAGGCATAGGAGGCCCTTGTTACTTGAGAGGCAGCCTGACTGTCATAACAATTTGATCCTACAAGATCCTCCTGATTCCTTGGATTAAATAAAGTCATCTATCAGGATCCCAATAGAAAAAAAAACACCCATTAAATATGCTGGATTCACTGAATGACCATGTGATTCGCTTAACCATTATAAAACAGTTGTTAAAATCAAGCATGGTCAAATGGTGACTTGCTTAACAACTGCCACAACTTATAACCAAAATTCTGGGCTTAATTGTGGTCGTAAGTTAAGGGCCACCTGTACAGTATTTATTTTTGTATTTTATTGATTTTATTGTAATTATTTTGTTTCATTCTTGTGAGCCACCCAGAGTCACTGATAATCAAGTGAATACAAGTTTGAGTTATCATCATCATCTAACTCAGTGTTTCTCAACCTTGACAATTTTAAGGCATGTGGACTTCAACTCCCAGAATTCCACAGCCAGCATTGCTCGCTGTGGAATTCTGGGAGTTGAAGTCCACATGCCTTAAAATTGTCAAGGTTGAGAAACACTATTAACTGTTCTTAGACCTTTTCTGCATGGCATGAGAAAAGCACATCTTCCTTCCCCTGTCCTTACCACTTTCTATAGAGCAGAGGTGACAAACTACCAGCCCACAGGCTGGATGCGTCATGCCAAAACCGCGCCCACCCCATTGCCGGCAATGGAAAAAAGGTTGTGATACGTCATGACACATCACATGACGTTGCGAGTTTGATAGCCCTGCTATAGAGGGACAATCGAGAGCATCCTGTCATATAGCATTACACTCTGGTTTGGAAGCATCACGGCAGTACAGAGAGTGGTGAGGATGGCAGAAAAGATTATTGGCAGTTCTTTCCCTTCTATCCAGGACATAGCACAGAAGCAATGCTTGTGTGGGGTCTGTAGGATTGTCTGGGACACTACACTACACAGTCTGTTTTCTTTGTTACCTTCTGGGAGGAGGCTTCATGGTATCCGAAGCACAACATCCAGATTCAGTCACAGTTTTGTCCATACAGTGTTAACCTTGTGAACTCTAAAGCTTCCTCCTTCCTTTATGTATTCAAGATGGACAGTGATTAATATTTATATGTTATTTATATGTAAGGCTGTAGGTGTACATATATGTTGTATATAGCATGTCTATATGTGTGTTATGTGTGTATACACTTTTGAGAGCAAGTAACAGAATTTCATTTTTAATGTGTGCTAGTGTGCCCACAGGGAAAAATGGCAATAAAGGTAATAATAATAATAATAGTAGTAGTAGTAGTAGTAGTAGTAGGTAAGTTGGAAAGGACCTTGGAGGTCATCTAGTCCAACCCCCTGCTCAGGCAGGAAACCCTACACCATTTTGGACAAATGGCTCTCCAGTCTCTTCTTAAAAACTTCCAGTGTTGGAGCATTCACGGCTTCTGGAGGCAGGCTGTTCCACTGATTAATTGTTCTAGCTGTCAGGAAGTTTCTCCTTAGTTCTAGGTTGCTTCTCTCCTTGATTAGTTTCCACCCATTTCTTCTTGTCCTGCCCTCAGGCACTTTGGAGAATAGCTTGATTCCTTCTTCTTTATGGCAGCCCCTGAGATATTGGAAGACTGCTATCATGTCCCCCCTCGTCCTTCTCTTCATTAAACTAGACATACCCAATTCTAGCAACCGTTCCTTATATGTTTTAGCCTCCAGTCCCCTAATCATCTTAAGATAAGGTTATCTTATCTTAATTCTCTTTCTGGTCTGGTTTCTGCTAAAAAACTATTGCAAGTAGGAGTCATTCATCCAAATGCTTCCCCATAAAATGCCAAGAGAAAAGCATGAAGGAAAATTTAAGGAGCTTTTTAGGTACTAATTTTGCAGCAGATGCCACCTTGGCTTGTTTAGAAAGCTGAGTGGGGTCAGGATTGATTAGTGCTTGGATGGGAGACCATTGGGAAATACCAGAAATATAGACTATGTTGGGAAGAGTGAAGAAAATTCACTTCCATATTAAGCAAAAAAATAAAATAAATTCTCAAGTATATATTTTAAATCAAGCCTGACCAGATGATTAATACTTTTTAGTTTAACATATTCTTGTATGGGTTTGCAAGGGTAAAAAGATGATTCGCTCACCTTTCTGAGAGTTTAATTTCCAGAATTCCAAGCTCAAATTCCTCAAATTCCAGCATATCCAATGGGGAACCTCAAATTCCAGGAATTTTAATCCAGCAACAAGGAGAAAGCCAGATTCAGAAAGGCAGGTTTCCATGCTGGCTGGGGAATTCTGGACATGGAAGTCCACAAATCTTAAACTTGCCAAGGTTGAAGAAGATTGCTAAATATTAGCTACTGGGATTACCTTGGAGGCATGAGAATATTGATGCCTTTGCTAGTGTCTCAGAAAACGTTCTTCTGTTTTTGCAACCTTCAACTTTGCAAAAACCCTTTTAGACCTTAAATCTCATCTGGCAATTTATTCCATAACTTAACACAGGATACCTATGGCTTGTTTCTCTCACGTTCTTCTGAACATGGAGCGGCTATTCCCCTCTGAATACTAACAACATTTCTGCAGAATATACACTTTATCTCAAAATACCCAGCACCGGAAAAAAAAAAGCGGCATCAATCCCTTAGCAAAAAATTCCCTATACTCAGCGATTAAAAATAGCCTGGAATGCAAGCACCAAAAGAAAACCCTAGAAAGGGATGCTAAGAGGAAATTGTACTGACAACTCAGGATTTCGCCCTTGAACTTCGGGGGGAAAAAAAACAAGCCATCCACCTGCATGCATCTTCCAAAACGAGGGATCCTTACGTTACCATTCCGCTCCCTTCATGGGTTTCATGAACCAGGTTTTGCAGGCTCCCTCTGCGCAGGGAGACGGGATAACCTCCGATGCTCGGTCCCATTATGGGGGGGAGGGGAAATGCGCCTTAGTTTTCCTCCGGGTCGTTCCAAACGAGCCAGCCGAAATCAGCGGGCAGAAGCCCCTCGCCGCATTTTAAGAGCCGCGGCAACCCTGGCCCGGCTCTCCTCGCGGCTTTATTCCTCCGCACCGGGAGCTGCGTTTTGCATCGCCGCCGTCGGCTGGCATCCGAAGCAGAAGCCGGTTCCCCGCGGCTTCAACCAGCACTGGCTCCAGGGATCGCCGCCCGCGTCATCCACCGCTACCTGCCGGCCCTCCGGAAGCCGCCGTGTCACGCGCCGGGCCAGTCGAGAAGCCCCGGGACGCGCGCGCACGCGAGCGGGCGACCTCCCCCGACCGTCCCCCGGGGAAGCTTAGCCTTGTCGCTCGCAAAGCATTGTGGGCGGCGGGGAGGCTCGCTGAGCTCCCAGCTGGTTTGGGGGATCGCGCGCGGTCTCTGCTGCTTAAGCCTTCATTCGGCTAACCATAGTTTACTGAAGGAGCTGAGCGTTGTCGAGGCTGACGCGTGGCCAGGCAGCCTAAAGACAAAGCTCCAATTTTTTTTGGGGGGGGGGGGGGGCTTTTTGGAATCTTGTTGGGGATGAGAGTGACTGTCATCCAGGGAACTTTGGCAGCCAGGATGAACTTTAAACTTGGGTCTTCCGAGTTCAAGTCGAGTACTGTAATCATGTAATCCTGGATGCTTGCTGGGGGCAAGTGATGTCATGTGCCATGCAGTTGTGCAGATGAGGCTATTTGTGGGACTACCGTCTGCTGTCCTAATGGCTTGCACTCAGTTGCTCTCGAGATACCTCTTTCTGGAATGAAGGCAAATATACATATCCCATATTTTAAGCAGCCATCCACAACCTGCTGTCTTTGAGATGGGTTGGACTACAGTTTCCTTCATCCTTAACCCACATAGCCATATTTAAGGATTTATATTTAAGCACACAATCAGCTCCAGGCTGGGGAATATTGGTGTAATAGACTTCTTAGGGATTTCCTGCAATGCATAGGAATTCCCGGCCGTTGGGAGTAATAATGGTAAAACATATTTTGCTTGTCTCCTGAAAATGGGAGGAAAATAAATATTAAATGAATGGCGGATTACATGATTTACTTTCTGAATGTGAAATTCTCTGCCACCACAAAGGACCACCTTAAAATCTAATTATGATATGATAAACAGAAGGGAGCTAGTGAGGCAGAGTCACACTAACTGGAATCTGACTTGAAGCAGTTAATCTGAATGTGTTAACCCCAGTTTAAAACACAGTGCTGTTTTTTAAGAAATCAGTTGGGAAAAGATACTTGACAGACAAGCTTAGGATGTCTACCCATTGAAGAGACTAGAGAAGTGAGAAAGTATGAAATAACATAGATATGTTAAATGGCAGCTCACTTCAAAGCATGTTTATTTATCAAACTCCTTGGAGCTAAAAAAAATAACTTTTACATCAGTATGCTTCAAACTGCACCAGTCTGGTAAGAAAACACAACAGTACTCTGACTTTCTTCATTCGGCTTCCTTTTTTCTTTTTTGTGACCTTTTGTAACCCATAATTGCTCCGCCTCTTTCCTTATTTACGTCTGTCCTTTTTAATCAGATTCCTCCAGATAGTGTGGGCAAGACTAAGGGCTTCCTTCGTGCTTGTGCGCAGGCGGGGAGCAGGTATGACAGGTTAGCGGAGCGACGACGCACAAGGCGGGACAAGGTACTGTAAATGAGCGGCTGCAGCGAGGGGCAACGGCGAGGCGTTGGTAGGAGCCCGTGACGTCATCGGGGGCGTGCACGTAGCCCTCCGGTTGCAGCAGCTGCTTCTTTTTTTCCCTCAAGCTCTTTTTGCGCGTCAGCTGATCAGCTCCGGAGAGGAAAAGATCGGAAGTCGCTGCTTGCTCTCCCGCCCGCTCCTTCTCGGTGTTGCTTGTTGCTCTGGGACGCCTGGAATTGAACAGGGAAGAAGCAGAAGAAACCAGCACCGTCCACCCGTGGGGAGGCGGAAAAAAAACCCAGAGCTCGGCTGGATGTGGGCTCCAGCGTCTCCCATTACAGACTCCATCTCTAGTTCGTGCCCCAGCTTGACAGCCTCTTCTTCCACCAGTACCATCAGCACCATTCAAAGTGACAGCCTCCAAGCTCCCGTCACTCCTCGGGACAGCCTCCAGACTCCTTCCAGCTTGCCCAGCAGCCTCGATTCCCTCTCTATCCAGCCCAGCCAACTCCAGGCATCTTCCAGTCTGGACAGTCTTCCGGAGTCTTCCAGCATCCAAAGCGACAGCCTTGAATCCTTTACTGGGCAGCAAGAAAGCCTGGTCAGTTTTCTCCAGGACAGCCTCAATCCCAGGGACAGCTTGGACTCTCTGCGGCTTTATCAGGCCAACTTCCGGTCCATCTTCAGTCTTGGCGACAGTCTTGAGACCTCCAGTATCCAGCTGGACAGCCTGCAATCCGTGGCCAGTTTAGGGGACAATACCCAGGCTTCCAGCCTTCTCACTGATAGCCTTGAATCCCCCTGCAGCTTTTGTGATAGCCTGGAGACACCCAACGCTCTGGATCCTACAGTGTTTGACTCAAACTTGTAGCAGATTCTTTCAGTCTGTTTTGCCAAAGGCTACCCTGATCAGACAAGGACTGTAGGAACCATCGCTCGGCCTTTCACTCAGTGCTTGTTTTCTTCCTCGCTGACCTAATCCTTCTGCACGTCTCAGCAAAAGCAGTTTCTGGCAGCAGTGATGTCCACTCAAACTGTTTGCCCTCAGGAGCCAAAGGTGTTGAGAGCTCCCCGGCAGAGTCCCAGCTGTCTCTCTGGTATGTACCAGAACATGTTTCAGGGCGAAGCAACCCAGCTTGTGGAAAAGAAGAGATGCCAACCGTTGCATAGCAGCAACAGCGCCAGCCAGTTGACTTCCTATCTGCACCAGAAAACTGAACATAGAGTTCCTCAGAGCACCACAAGTTGTGACCCACATCTCCGACCCATCATACGCCGTCGGGCCAGGTCCTTGCCCAGTTCTCCAGAGAGAAGGCGTAGCGGGGTGGCTCCCTGTCGTGTTCCGGGTTGCCACACTCGCAAGAACCATGTTAGGTTTGCAGATGCTTTGGGCCTGGAGCTGACAGAAGTGAAAGTTTTCCAAGCTGGGGAAGATCCATCTATCCCACTTCATGTTCTTTCTCGGCTATCCATTAATTCAGATCTCTGTTGCAGCAAGCTGGACCTGGAATTCACCATGCAGTGCCTGGTACCTGACTTCCAGCAGCCGGGAGATTGTGAAGACTTCCTTAGCCGCCTGCAGCAGCAGCAGGTGTGTTTGGAACGAGTGTCCAGCTCAGATCTGGGCCTGAATGGCACAATCAGAGTGATCAATTTAGCCTTTGAGAAACAGGTGACTGTGCGCTATACTTTTAATCACTGGAAGGGCCAACATGAAATAAATGCTCAGTGGCACAGCAGTGTTGCTGGTCAGGATGGTGAGACTCAAGTGGACAATTTCACCTTCTTCCTTCCTATGCCCCCATTCCTTCTTCAGCTTAGCTCAGTAATTGAGTTTGCAATCTTATACCGAGTCAACGGACAGGAATACTGGGATAACAATCAGGACAAGAATTACACCCTCACTTGTAGGAATCATCCGCTTAAGATGCCCAGAGAATGTGAAGAGAGCTGGATTCATTTCATCTAAAAGCAAAACAAAGGGGTCTGCATTCTTTTGACCTTCCCCCCCCCCCACGCTGAGGCACCAAAGAAACTCTTCGACATGGCAAAGATCCTTCAGAATAAAAGAATAACAAGTGATCTGCACAAAAGCTATTTTGAGAAGCTGTTGTTTTTCTGAAAAAGATAAGGATAAAGGGCCTTAATTTGCAGTGATTTGCACTAAATTAACTTGAAATGTTTGGGAATCATAGCCCAAAGATGCAGTCATTAGAAGGAAGCTAATGTATTTTATTTCTTTGATTAATTCTTATAATGTTCTGATTATGCAGTATTTTAAAGCATACTGTACTTGATGCTCTGTAGTTTTGCACTTCACTTTTTGCACTTTTTACAAAATTGTCTTTGGTGGAACATAAGCATATTTCTGTTAATTTCTAGAACAAGAAAGTGTTACATATTTCTAATGCACTGATCAAATGCTGCAGGGCTGGGGACGGCAAAATTTAACTATTTAAATAAAAATGAAAATTTACACTGCAGTTTATAAGGCTTATATGATAGTGTTCTTAGCCATTTGGCATTAGTCCCTAAATGTTCCTGTTTTAGAGCACTTTTTGTTATTAGAAGAGAAAATGCAGTTTGCTTTTTGGAGAAGTTTATTTTTTATGTTATGTTATTTTATTTTAGCCTTCCAGGTCAAAGTAAGTTCATGCCACTATAGTTTAATGAACTACAGTATAGCCCAATTACAGGGATGTTTTGAGTTAAACTATGTAGGCTGCAGCCAATCTTAGATTGTCTTACATTCGTTTCTAAGCAAGAGTGGGATACAAATATAAGAAGCAGACATCAAAAAAATCACTTATTTTTTGTGCCAAGAAAACTTCATGGATGTATGTATATACAGAGAGTCACAGGCATTTTTTTTTTACAGTTAACAAAGAGTCATACCGAATCACACTTTTTTGAATATGAAATTGTTTGATTTGTTGACAACTTGAGTGCCAGGATTTTCTTTGAGAAGAAATGAGAATGATTCTTTGCATATATAATTAATATGGGTTATATTTTATCAGCCTTGGGCATTGCAGTATAACTGCCTAGTTTCGGAACAAAACAGCAGTGACATGTGTTAGGTTTCTATAGATCATATGAGATGTTGGCACTTTTAAAAAATATTTACAAGGAGTAAATGATACCAAGCATTACCAGCTCCTGGGGTACAGCTACAAGTGCAGTTAAGGATTGAGTTCCATGTTGTTTCTGTCACCATTTGCATGCAGACATGTTTGGGAGATTGATGTCACTGCCATGGATTGAGATGTCTGCATATGCCATTAAGTCTGTAAGGAATGCTTCTACTTATTCTTCCATCTTGGGAAAGAGCTCCTGATAATGTGATAAAGTTAGCAATGAGTGTGGTTTATGTATACTAAACTAAGAATCATTCTAATATATGCAAGCAATTGATGAGAGATGAACTTGTGATTGTCAATGGACTTGAAGAGTATAGTCTTTTAAAATCAGAGGTCTAGTTTACATTCATTAGTTCAGGATGAATCACCTTGTGCAGTGAACTGTGATGGAATATAGTACAAGTCTTTCTGTTCTTAATCTATTCCCTGCCCTTTTTATGGCATGATTTTGGAGTTCTGTAGCAAGCAGCCTTAGACCGAGTCCACCTAGCTTGGATCAATGTCTAAGATGGGGTAGATAAAGATTGCAGCTCTAATCCATATATGACCTTCAAACTAATTTCTTGCAAACCCCCAGACTAATTTCAAAACTTACTGCAAGAGATTGGTTCAAAAAGGACCATCTTGCCTTTCCTGTTGGTTTACTACTTGAGAAAGAAGAACGAAGTATCAGAAGGAAAACATATTTGAGAGGTTAAAGAACTAGAGTAGGGGTCTCCAAATCTGGCAACTTGAAGACTTGTGGACCTCAACTCCCAGAATTCCCCAGCCAGCATGGCTGGTTGAGGAATTCTGGGAGCTGAAATCCATAAGTCTTAAAGTTGCTGAGTTTGGAGACCCCTGAAATAGACGATCCCATCCATTTGGGGTTCTGACTACATCCAGCATCATCCACTCAGTGGCTCCCAATAGTTTGTCCAGGATATAAATCTGGTTGTTTATACAAGGTTTCCCAGCAGAGTTTTCCCCCCTCCCTTCAATGTGTAAATTATAACACCACCACCACCACCCATTTTCACCCTCTCCCCGTATGATTTAGGGTTTTTTTGCTTTGTTTGCTCGTGGTGTAGGGATGATTAATGTACTTGGTTTCTGATTACCTGCATTTTGGACTGATACTGTGCCTTGAATAACTTTCAGGCTGCTATATCACAGTACATTCTGGCCAAGCCTGCTTTGTATCTCATAGGAGCTGGAAGGGATCCCAGTTCCAGAGTAGAAACCCATGTCAGCCCCTCTGTTCACTGACAAGAACTTCTATATAAGAGGTTGTCTCAAGGGGCCATTCTTTCGAGTGGGAAGTTCCTTTGAAATGCCTGAATAGTGGGTAATGGAAAAATCTATTTCCTTTATGGTTGACCAAGCTAAGAAGTGTATCTAGATCTCTTGTTTATTAAACAGAAAGGAGACCGGGTGCTTCAAACAAATCTCTACGGATGTCATTAGAAATATTGTGCAGTGGATTTGTTTTTTGAACTCAGTTTCTTAGGTGGGTGGGAAGTAGATTTCATGAAATTGTAAAGAACACACAGGCACATCTTTGAGGTAGGGCCAAAGGGAACCCCCCCCCACTTCAATAGCCTAAAATAAATGCCCGTAACTAAAGAACAGTTGCTGGCTGGGGAATTCTGGGAGTGGAAGTCCACCCATCTTGGCTGAAAATTGCTATTGTAGAAAGCTAACTGTTTGTTTTGGGGAGGGGTGAAAAATGAGAAGGTGGAATGAAATGGAATATTCTAGAAGAGGGCATGGAAATATTGGCTAGATAGAATTTCAAACACCAACTCTTAACAACCTAATTTTTCATATTTCTGAGTCTTGTGTGGCCATTATAACTCTTAAGATGTGCTGGTGGTTGAATTAAGTTCTGACTTCTAGATGTATGTTTGTCACTGAGGAAAGTTGGTTAGGCAACCTCTGAAAATATGTTATAATAGCAGAAAAGCTGCATTCATGTCAGAACAAAGTAACAGATTTGTCCAATAGGGCACTCTCAAATATTTTAGGATTATAGCTACCATTTTCAGCCAGGGTGGCCATTGATCCCTACAGAGGTAATTTATTTTCCTTGACATTATTTGTTCCCCACCCCCCTATCATTATGTCCTTACCATCATCTTTCCTGATTGAGAAACCTACAGTTTTAGCCATAATGTATCTTGGAAGATAAAAGCAACAGGCCAATGCATAGTGCTGTCAGTGTTGTGTGACTGCTAGGACAGGTCATTGCAGTTTCTGTGTTCATTTTTGCAGGTAGATATTTTTGCACACTCTATTTTTTTGCATGTGATTAAATGATTGAAGAAAAATAGTTTCCAGAATTCTAAATCAGGCTGTACAGTATCCTAAGCAATCAATTACACTTCAGAGAAGACATTGCATAGATTTTTTTTATCCTTATTTTGTGCTATAAAGTTTAAAAAATATTATTGTATGTTGTATGACAGGTATAGTTTCATGATGGCAAGAAAAATAGAATTTGAAATAGAATTTGCAGTCTATAGGCCAGCCTTGCTCAATCCTATATCCTCTAAATCAGAAGGACTGAAATTTCCATAATTTGTCATCGTGCCTGGCAATTAAAGGAATACAGCTTCAAACAAATCTGTTTTAAGCTTTTATTTTGAATTGTCTGCGATAAGCAGTTTGTGGATTGTTGTCAGTATTCAAGCCGCTCCTATTTTTCTGCCAGCATCTGAATCTATAGAAGGTAAAAAGTTAAGCATAAAAAAATCAATATATTTTTAATGAAGAAAAGCTTATTTTCTACAACATTCATTTGGGTTGTATTGATGAGCTGTAATCTCTTAACAATTTGGTCTCTTCCTTCTTTTTCCGTTTTTGTGATTCATGTTACCATATTTGCTCCTTTGCTTTTGAGTATTTAGTAAACTTGCTTTGTAAGTATTCCTTGGACATTTATCAGAATCAGGAAATCAAACAAAAAGAATTAAGTACTGTGCTTCATTCTGTATTTTTATATACAGATTCAGATCATTTTGAGACAAATAGGTTTTGCAGACCCTATGTTGAAACTTAATATCATTTAACTTCTAATTGTATAAATAAGTTAAGTCCATATATATCCTTGTATTTTTGGAGTGTGACACAAATGATTATTACAGAATGACTAAATGTGCTACAGTATTTCCAGGCGCAAGCTTTTAGAAAGCAAACAAATTATTTTTCTATAATCACAGAATTTTAATATTGAAATAAAGAAGTAATGGGTAGGCAGGTCAGCGGCATATGTTCCCCAACGTGTTATACAATAATGGCCATATAGGTGGCAGATTATATATAAAATATATGTATATATGGTGTATTATGTTTCCATCCTTTCATAATATATACTACAATGGACTTGAAATTTTCCATGGGCATCTGGAAAATATCTGTGAAATATATATATATATATATATTTCTTCTGGAAACAATACAGGTAGTCCTTGACTTACAACCATTCATTTAGTGCAGTTATAACAGCACTGAAAAAAGTGACTTCAGACCAGTCCTCACACTTATGACCGTTGAAGCATCCCCCACAGTCATGAAATCAAAATTTGGGTGCTTGGCAACCAACCTGTTTACAACAGCTGCAACATCCTTGGGTCACATGCTTGCCATTTGTGACCTTCCAAGCCAGCTCCCAACAAGCAAAGTCAATAGGGGAAGCTGGATTTGCTTAATGTCTGCATGAATCATTTAACAACTCAGTGAATCAATCATCTCAAAAAAAGATTGTCAAATCGGGTTCAGCACATTTAAAAACTGCCTTGCTTAGCAATAGTGATACTGGTGGTCCCAAGTGGTTGTAAGTTGAGGACTTCCTGTATTCCAGGCTTCTTATTACTTTGGCTTTTTTTTAAAAAAAAAAACTGCATTCACGTACGCACTTTCTTTAGCCTCTTTGCATCCTTTCATGTCGGCCCCAGAACCAGGCCTGGGTCTCTGTTTGAGTTATAAATATCCTGTACTCTGGAGATGCACTGTTCCTTGGAGCAGATCTGTTTACCTTTCAGCACATCGGGACGGAGAAGTATAAGCAGGATCCAAAACTGTAACACTAGACTAGTGATGCAAATAAAAAAAAACTATTGCTTGCCTTACTGGCTCAAGGCCAAGTGCTTTTGGTCCAGCATTCTACATCCAATGATGTCCTACCAGTCAAATGCCTCTGGAAGTGAAGTCTCATCAGCTTGGCATGAAGGTCACGACTCATCCCGGTTTATCCCCAAGTGCTCTATACTTAGAATTATATTGCTGTGGGATACAGAGATTTCATTCGAGAGCTGTTGTAAAAAGGCCTTTCTGAAATTCACAAATAAAGAATGGTAACATACCAAAGACCTGGGTGGGGGGGGAGGGAGAAGAAGTACAGAAGGATATTGGGAAATTATTCTCCCTCCCTGCAAACTCAGAGAAATGCATGTTACATTTATTTTATATATTAATTCCTCCTGTGTCCTGAAACAAGAAACCTGAGCAATTATCACAGCCCAAGCAAACCATATTTGTTTGTTATATTTTTGTACTGCTGGTGTCAGCTTCGGATATGAATTTATGGCTGAAGACAGTTTTAAGTATTTACCACATTTTAAGTAATGATTACTTAATAGCAATGGTTAGAATGTAGTACTGCAGGCTAACTCACTGCCCACGGCCAGGAGTTCGATTCTCACTGACTCAAGGTTGACTCAGCCTTCCATCCTTCTGAGGTCAGTAAAATGAGGACCCATATTGTTGGGGGCCATATGCTGACTCTGTAAACCACTTAGATAGCGCTGTAAAGCACTGTGAAGTGGTATATAAGTCTAAATACTATTGCTATTACTGGAAAGTTTCCAAAAGATTATTCCCAGGGCATGGGTGTAGCAGAGGAAAGGTGCTTTCAGAATAAAGGTATGCCAGGTAAATGTAATCACTAGTTGGTCATTTGGCATTGAAGTCTACACTGTTAAGTAATTAACAAAGAGCCAAGTTGGTGTAGTGGTTAAAGGCACTCAAGCGAGGAATCAAGAGACTGTCAGTTGTATTCATGTCTAGGGCATGGAAGCCAGCCGGGTCACCTTGACCCCTAGGAAGAAGACAATGGCCCTTTTGAAAACATTGCCAAGACAATGCAGGGAGTTGTCCAGGCAGGTGCCAGGTATCAAGATTAATTCAAAAGCACAACAGTAAACTGCTTCAGGTACTTGAGTGTGGGTTCTACCTGATTTCTTAAGGAATAATTGTTTGTGTCACTTGGGATGTAAAGATTTGATAGTACAGGTAGTCCTCGAGTTACAACAGTTTGTTTAGTGACCATTCGAAATTACAACAGCACTGAAAAAAGTGACTTATCATTTTTCCCCACTAACAACCACTGCAGCATCCCCAGGGTCACATGATCAAAGTTCAGACGCTTGGCAACTTGACTCGTATTTATGACAGTTGCCGTGTCCTGAGATCATGTGAGCACCTTTTGCGACCTTCTGACAAGCAAAATCAATACGGAAGCCAGATCCAATCCACCACCATTTTTGTTAACAACTGCAGCGATTTACTTAACACACGTGGCAAGAAAGGTCATAAAACGGGAGAAAAATTCACTTAACAAATGTCATGCTTAGCAACAGAAATTTGGGGTTCAATTGTGGTCGTAAGTTGAGGACTGCCTGTACCAGGGATAGGCAACCTCGGCTCTTTTATGACTCATGGACTCCCAGAATTCCTGAGTCATAAAAGAGCTGAGGTTGCCTACCCCTGGCCTGTACCATCCATCCTTCCACCTTGAGTATAAATGATAATGGGAAAAAAAATTCCACCAGAAAAAACAAAACATGGAGGGTCCTGGATTGCTATTCTATTAATCACGTTAATTGCAAAATGTGACATAGCTTTAAGTCCAGCGGGACTAAATTCTGGGCGGATTTGTTCAATAATGTACATCGCTCAGGAATGGACTTATTACATTCAGTGGACGCCAATATTTAAAAATGGATTTGTTGCAGTGACCTAGTGATCTGTAATTTATTTATTTTCATATAAGGGAGGAAAGAAAAATAAACCGAGGAAAAACACTGAAAATGTAACTTGTAATTTGGAAGACTGCTGTATAAAAGAATGCTAAAAGCCCTTCGGAGGGACTACATTACTGTTTTCACGAGACGGTATGAATGCTGGCAGAATGCTGGCAAATGTGAAAAGACTTATGCTTGGGAGGCTAAAGATTAGCCATATTGGAACATACTAAGTAAGTATTCTTGAAAGGATGTCATCTCTACTGGAATAGCTTGTTGGGACAGGGGAAGAGCCACTAAAATACGTAATAAAGGGACCTTAGACCTATAACTGAGATCTTTGCTACTGCACCGCAAACATTCTGCTGTGTTCTTGTAAGTGGTTTCAGGAGGAAACTGGAAACTGTGTAACAGGAAATTGTTAAAGCAACTTTGTTAATGGTGCAAAACAGCCCGAGAGTCGTTCCTTTTTTCTTTTCTTTTTTTTCTTAACCAGTATTAAACAAAGTGCCTAAATTTGGGGGGAGTGTCACTGTAATCATGGGGAGCCATTTGCTGCCTCTCATTCCCCTCTTGTTAAAATGTGCCTCCTCCCAAATCAGCTGGGTTCTCTGTGAATGAGATCATATTAAAATCCTGCAGGCATTTACCCTGAAGCGATTAATTAATTTCATGGCATGGAGGCTGTTCTGTCACCATTTTGCATTGAGTAGTATTCTCGGGGCAATTAATAGCCTTTTCATGTTTCATTGATGTCTTGCCATTTTAAAAGCATTTTAAAGCCATGCTGTATTTAAAATATTGTATCCTTTTAGAAACTGATCACATCTAACATATCATTAAAAGATGTTTGTGGCCTCCATTTAAGAGATGCGGTCATTGGAAAGAATGTAATTAACCATTTATAATACTGTATAAGAATAAACTATGGCTCTATATCTGAATACACTGCAAACATTTTTTTTAAAAAAAATCTATTGTATAATTTAATTTTTAATGGGCAGCATATATCTTGCACGATACCTTTTCTTTGTAATGTTTTTATAATTAAATGTCTTTTCTAGGATGTCCTTCTGAAATACATCTGTAGGAAGTAGATCGCTGAGTTTTAAAGGTGCTTTTTTTCTTCAAAAGGCAGCTGGACTGTTTTTTTCCTTGAGGAAGAAGAAGAAAACATTTTGCTTCTCATCCAAGAAGCTTCATCAGTTCTGATGGCGGGGGAGGGGGGAATGGAAGAATAGGTTCCAATAGGATGATTGGGGGAGGGAGAGAATGGAAGGATAGGTTCTGATAGGATGGAGGTGGGATCCTTCCATTCCCCCATCCTATCAGAACCTATCGTTCCATCCTCCCACCATCCAGTCTCAGCTGTCAGTACCTATCCTTCCATTCCCCGCCCCACCATCAGAACTGATGAAGCTTCTTGGATGAGAAGCAAAATGTTTTCTTCCTCAAGGAAAAAAAAAGTCCACTTGCCTTTTGAAGAAAAAGGCAACTCTGATCTGGATGACTCTGGCCTGGATGACTGAGAATCTCAACAGACAGATCGCTGAGTTTTCTGGCTTTTCAGATACTGCAGGATGCTAGCAGAAATGTTGATATGTGAACTTGGAAAATATGAAACAAATTAATTACTGAGCGATTCCATGCCCATTACATACTAATAATTGCAGTACTGCTTTGTTTATGTTTGTTCAGGGTGCCATTTGGAATATATTTTAGCCTGTAGAATGGAAAAACTAGAACCATAAAAATCATATCGTTAGTCCGTTACCATCAGGGAGTGCTATTTCCTATATGTTATCTGGAACTCAAGGGATATATGCAGCAGACTAGGGACTAGGGAGAAAAAAAAACCTGTGGTTTAATGCAAGCTGTACCAAACATAACATGTCTTTCTCCAATAAAAATGGTTCTGGATTTGGGATCATTTCTCCATCTGAAATGAAAGAGAGAGAAGATAATGTAGTAAGTGACAACCAAACCAGGAGAGAGAGAGAGAGAGAGAGAGAGAGAGAGAGAGAGAGAGAGAGAGAGAGAGAGAGAGAGAGAGAGAGTAGATGTAGATATAGGGTAGATAAAGATATAGAGTAGATAATATAGATATAGAGATAGCTAGAGATATATTCCTTCCAGCAACTTAGTTTTTAACTGTCTTGCCCTTCTGTGTTTTATTTGAAAATTAAAGCACCATAAATTTGCAACCTTGTCTGCTGATTTCCCTATTGACCTTGCTTGTGTGAAGCTGGCAAGGAAGGTCACAAATGGTGACTGTGACCATAGCTCGCTGCAATGACATAATTGCAAGCCACACACAAGCA